TTGATGGAGTTTTCCTAGAGGGTCCAAGTTAAACAGGTCAAGTAGTTTTGGGTTGTTTTTATTGCATTTACCGAGTTTAAGAGACTATTTAGGAGAAATTTATGTTATTGATGTTCATGTTTAGAAGAATAGGAGGCGAATATCGTAATATTTTTGAGCATTTATGTTAAAAAAAAAATAGTTTGTGTATATATCTTTACTGAAATATAAAAGTTTAGGTATACGGAACCTGTTCATTTTTTTGTGAAATAAACCGTCAGAATTATAGCGATAGGAAAAAGAGTTAAACTCGATGAGTGGTGAAAGCTTTTTTTCGGTATACCGAGTGCAACACGAAAACTATGAATGGATTTATTTTAGTTGTTAGTAAATAGAATATTTACAATTTTGTCTGATTGTTTAAGGGAAAATTACTCCATACCACCCTCAATGTAAAATTTGGTAAATGTATGCGAATAAACTGAATGAAAAAGAATAAGAAGGTTATTCATATCTCAAACAAGGGCGGCACCAGGGATGGGGGTCATAGGGACCATGCCTCCTTCCCGAGAAGAGCCTATATGAGCCTTTTATTAAAAAATTATGGTTAAAAGGAAAGCAGCGTGACTCAAAGTGTGGTCCGCAGAACACTGGGGCTCCGCAAAACTTTTGTAGAGACTCCGCAAAGAAAATAATAGTCATAACAAAAACAAACGGTACCTACCGTTATAACGGGACTTGGCTTGGGGACCTTTTTTTTAGAATTCAGTAAGAAGAAGTATACGATTTTGATTGGAGGACTTTTTTTTAGAACTCAGGAAGCAGGAAGAGAAAGGAGTATATGCTTTTGATATGAGGACCTTTTTTTTAAGGCCAGAGAAGGATGATATGATTTTGAGGATTTGTTGTAGGGGCTACGCAAAGAAATGGGAGGGACCGCAACAGGCTAGAGCAAGGAGGATTTTGCTCAGAGGACTTTTTTTTTTAGAAATGTGTTTAGGGCTCCATCAAATATTTCGCTTTAACACCGAGTAAACACGCTTTATAATAGTATAGTTTCTCTCAATAAGTATCAGCGTAAGAAAGTTAACAATCTGTATACACGGTGACTCCTAAATTATTCTTTCATTTTTTACTGTGTACCTTCATAAAACAATAAAATAAACAAGTTTTTAAATAACACTTTAAAACATGAGATGTGTCCAACACATCACTTTCCTATAAAGTTATTATCAAATACATTGAGTACGACTCATATAATCTAAAAGTTTTTAGAATATATTAATTATTCCATAATGTTTCTTGTTACTACAACACTATATGCATATTTAAAAAAAAACTAACGTACAAACAAAAAAGAGAAATTCATCTGCAAAAAACGAAGCGAGTTGTGTTAAAAACCTTAAGATTGAGAAAAAACTGTAAACTTACCAGAAGAATAAATGCAGAAACTTTGGGCAGTTCTTCCTTATTCAAGACAATCTGCAAAAGAGGATAAACTTATTAATAACATGATAATGATTTAAAAATGTGAATATTTAGAAGATTCGTAATAACACTATTAGACTGAGAACCGGCCGTATAAAATAAAATGGAGGATTATTATAATAGGCTGAATTAAAAGAAATAATAGGTTAATAATTGATTAATACATTAATTGTAAAACCAATGATAACATTGCTGTGCCGTGGTTCAAAATAACACCACTTGCGATATGCTAATTTAAAGGTTGTTGTAGCAGTATTTTGTAAGACGCAACCCCTTTCGACGGTCGCTCAATGGCGATAATCTGTTGTTAACTCCTATTATGATAAAATTCGTGTCAAATAAAAGGTAAAAATGTTCTCCTTAATAAATACTACGATTGTCTGTGTTTGCATACGCACAAGTAACGGTTGAAATGGATTTTTTATCACCATCCAGATTAACAAGATGAAATAATTCAACGTGACCCCCGGCCTCTTTCATCTCCATCTGCAGCTGTTCGAGAACCTTTGACACAGTCTCAAGAGTTAGTGGAGTAAACAACTTGAAATAATCTAGCGCCTGAGTAACCGGCACAGTCAGTGTAGTGTTATTCGTAATAATATTTTTTCAAACAAGTGGAGATAAACCCCTCGAAGACCAAGTGCTGTAGGAGGTAATCCATCCTCTTCATGTTGCAGACATGTTACATTTTTTAAATATGAATCACCAAAAAGATTATTATGTTCGTGCACAAAAACAAATGGCATTTTTGGTTTTCACTATATAACTCGAGAATGGCAATAAAAATGAAAGATTCTTTTCGATTGCAGTTAGCTCTAATATTCTCAAAATTGTTCACTTATTCTACAATAAATTTAAAATAGGACAATGCTGAGACATGATCAAAAAACGAACATATGTGGCACTAATTTTTAACAATCCGTAATTTTATCTAAAAAAATTCGTGATCGAACATTTTCCATTCGTGTTACTTAACTCTCTAATGGATAATGTATCTCCTGAGATACGTTAATTTTAAAACTCTCTAAATGCTAGCCAATTCAAATTTATCAAATAATTTTACACTCTGCGCCTGAGCAGAGTATCTGTAGAAACATGAGTCTAAGAGACTCCGGCGTGACCTGCCGTTATTTGAAACTAGTGAGTACATAAAAATGGACGCTACATGTAGAAAGCGGGTAAGTTAACTTTAATTTTATGTTTTAAACTAAATCAATATTGACTTAAACTGTCAATTAACGTCATACAAACATTATTAACCGACTTCAAAAAAGGAGGAGGTTATCAATTCGTCGCGATATTTTTTTTATGTATGTTCAGCGATTATTCTTTAACACGGTGTCCGATTTCAATGATTCTTTTTTTTGTTAGAAAGGGAATACTTCAGGGGTGGTCCCATATAAATTTAGTCAAAATCTAATAATTGAGTCCATGAGAAAATTCTCAAACTCTTCATTTTTTATGTATGTTTAGCGATAATGCTTTACCACCTTGTACGATTTATATGATACTTTTTTGTTAGTAAGGGGGTACCTCAGGGGTGGTCCCATATAAATTTGGTTAAGATGTGGTGATGGCATCTGTACGTTTTTGAAGTCGGTTTTTTTTTTAAATCTTTAATTTCTAATACTTGTTTTTGAATCAAATCCATTATAAAGTTACCATAAAAGTGAATTTAAAGTTAGTATCCAGTGAGATACACTGCCTGTATCCTACATAATACAGTTTTTTGAGGAATTTATCTGGTGAAACGCATCACCTAATATATACATAAACAGCATTTGAAAGGAATGTATCTAGTGCGTTACTTTGCTCAAATTTCCAAAACTGTAGAGAAGTTTGTTTCTTCTATTTACAGAAATATCGAAGCAGAACTGAAAACTGGTTAAAAAAGTTCTCTTTCCTGTCAACGGTATATCTGAAACAGATCCAGTTCCTGTAACTCCTGTAAAAGTTATTTTAGAAGATACTGATTCAATTAATCTACCAAGTTCTTCGTACACAGATTTAACACCACTGAAAATTCAGTGCAAGTCTAATGTGCTTACTAATATAGAAAAGGGAGATCTATCATGTTCTATGTACACAGAATTTTACCACCAATTACAATTCATAGCAAGCCTGATGTGAATACTAATATAGATGTAGGAGGTACGCAACAAAAGGAAGTTTCAGAGTTGGTTTCAGAAGCTGCCACTTTCAATCCAAATGTTGAATATCCTAATCTACAGCAGGAACCACATTCATCATTTGAAGCACAAAACACACCTCAAGCAAAATAATACCACACACAGAGGAAACTCTTTGACTATGAATTCTGATGAAATAAAATACTTTTTAGCTATTGTGCTTCTAATGGGTACTATAAAGTTACCTGCTTACACCGATTATTGGTGTAGTGACTTACGTATAAACATAATCGCTGATGTAATGCCCATAAAAAGGTAAGAACCTATTAGAAGGCTTATATATTTTAATGATAACGATGACGATACTGGTACTGATAGATATTTTAAAATGAGGCCTTTTATTGACCATCTAAGAAGAAAATTTAATAAAATTTAAAATAAACGAATACAGTCAATATATGAAATGATGATATCGCATAAGAGAACCAAAGCAGGTTCAAGATCTGGAGCATCTGGAATTGTTTATGACTTTGTCATATATGCAGGTGAAAATACATTTCGGCAATACACTTTTACTGAATATGAGAAGGCATTAGATTTTGGAGCAAAAGTCTTACTTGCATTATGCAAACCCTTGTCAGATCCTCCACTTACTAAAGTATACTTTCTTTGCTTCACTTGAACTTATGCATTATTTGAGAAAAGAGTTTGGCATTTGGAGTCTGGGAACTATGCGTGCTAACAGATTAAGAAATTGCCCTTTAGCAACTGATAAAATTCTTAAGAAGAAAGGAAGGGGAAGTTTTCAACAAAAAGCAGATAATACATAGAAAATTTGTGTAGTGAAATGGCAAGATAACAGATCTTATTCTAGCCAGTTCTTTTGTTTCTGCGAATCCCATTTAAAGAGCCGAGAAGGTACCGAGTGCAAAAAACAGTGTTTTTCAAAAAATTAACGGGCTTATTCGTACTCTAGTGATTCAGTTAAACTCTAATTTTTATTTAAAAAATTCCTATGCAAGATTTAGTTTTGTCCATTAGAGGGTTAAATACATATACCAATATTGCTACCTTTCATTCGAAAGGAGATTCTACCTAAACAAAATAATATTGATAAATTTTAAACATCAAATCAGAAATATTAACAATCATATTAGCTATATGTAAATACAGGGATTGAAATTAGGCAAGATAAACAGTCCTTTAAACCTCAGTTATCCTATTTAAGGTTTTAATTACTTCAAATTCAGACACACTATAACAAGTCCAATTAAAACCAGTCGCATTGAAAGAGATTTTCCTAATTTTATTCAGAAATAATAAAAACAATTGATTTATGGCAGTTGTTGAATGCAGTTATATACTTTAAATTCGAAATAACTTTCAGACGTTATTTAAGCTAATCTAAGACCACTTTACTTCGGATTTTAATCTACATTGTTCTGGATTAAAAATCAACAGTCTTTCCAAATCTCCTTTATTTTCGCATTTACATTTATGTTGCTAAAATAATAATAGTTATAAGGCAATAAAAAGTAAAATGAATATACAGTGAACGATATCCAGACATATTTTAAGAAGATAGTAAAAATACAATTATTGGTATCGTGTACATCCTGTATAAAAATTTACATTATTCGACTTTATAATCCTGATAGGCATTTATGAGGTTAAGTTAGTCTATTAGGTAATCAATAAATTTGAAAGTTATGCTCTCTGAAAATAAAAACCGGGATAATATTATTCTGGCCATAACCCACATTTTATTGACTTCATATCTGATATTTTATTACATGTAAAACATAAAAAAAAATTTATTATTTCAGTGGATAAAGAAACGGAATTTACAGTGCAAATCTGAAAATAGAATTCTATCACTTTTAAAAATTATAGATAGCGATCTACTAAAATTTTCTAATGTATTTTTTCTTTAAGGTGATCAAAATATTTAATTCTGCTATTTTTCTCACGTTTACTAGTAGTATTATAAAATCCAAATTAGGTAGTAAATATTTTATTGTATTACAATTATTAGGAGATCGAGTTTCATCAAAGTTTTAATAAAAGTATTCAGAATGGTTTTTAGAATAGAGAGAGAAGAGACTAACTTTCATTAAAAGTATTAAAAATAGCCTTTCCAATTTAGTCTATTTTACAATAAGTTATGGAGTTATTTTATGGGGTAATTCTGGACATACGCAAAAAGTATTCATAGCCCTAAAAAAAAATTAAATGTATGGCGAGAACAAATCCACAAGAGCAATATTTAAACAATTTGATCAGAAATATAAGGTTTATTTTTATTTTTTATAAATAATATCACTTTTTTCATTCAAAATATAATCTACGAAGTGTATATATACCCATTTTATATTCCGTGACCTTATTTGTATTATAGAAACTTATTTTGCAAAGTACGCCCATTGAATGTGACGTTATATACCCACTTTTACTGCACTCCTCAAGTACTACTCAAAATCGACCCCTGTATCCCGGGCTAATATAAAAATAACTCAAAACTCAAAAGAAGCAAAAATATAGACTTTATATAAAATAAAAACCGTGTATGTGTACGTGTACATACACTTACATACTTAAGGACACATTCAATCTCCTCATTTAATAGCAAAACCAGAGAGTAAACGCTTTTTAACAATATCCTTCGTTATCCTTGTGAATGAATCTATAAATATGTTGCTTTGTACTTAAATATTTACAAGAAAATATTTCCTTTTAAATCGAAAGCCATTAGCACCTCTTATCCGTCTTTTATAAAACATGTCGAAAGATTAAGGAAAACATACTTTAGCAGATACCTTTTTAAAATGTCATATTTATAATACTCTTCTCTGACATTGATTAATACGAAAATGTCTATGGAATATGTTTTACATAAACACATTTACAGGATTTGGATGTTAAATGGGTGCGAGTAAACATTTTTTTAGGAAAAGAAAAGGTTACTAAATTTGAAAATAATTTATTAGACAAATACGTAAGAGCACACATTTATTTTGTATAGCATACTTATAATTTTTGTTTCGTAATCATAAGTTTCCCTCTTTGAAACCAAACGTGGGTGGTCACTTTAGAAGAGAATGAAACATTTTTTTATTTATTTCTATATCCACCGAAAAATATTCCTAGCACACTTATTTTTCTTATTATCCCATGACAAGAATATTCACTACCCGCAACTTTTTAGTGAACGTAATGCTTGTTCCATGTTAGGCCATCTCTGACACCATAACAACATTTGCATTCGAAAAGCTTTTATCCGCTTCAAAATATACTTTACTATAGCTTAAGATGGCGGTTGTATAAATAATGTTTTTTGTAGTTTTCTATATTATCACTAATTTTACCCTGTTGATATTCAAGCAAAATCGTTAAACTGAACTATAGAATAACAATTGATGTCACAATATTTACAAAATAAGCTTTATCCAGTTAAATAAAATTGTAGCTTCTATGAAAAATACCTTGTAATTGCTAGAGCCCCTCAGGCATCTGACTTGGGCCAATTGTTGTTTATTTTATTCATTAACGACAGTCCTTAATTATTTAAAGTGTTCTTTACAGAGGATTTTAAAAATTTTAAAAATGTACAGACTGTTTTCTTTTAATATAGATAAGTGACATGTCAACTTTAATTCGAATAAAAAATCCGATTTTTGATAATATTATGCATTATGAAGTTTAAGAGCATTAAAGTAGTCCACTCGTAAAACGGCCCTTCTTAAGAATTCAATAACATGAACAGGCTCAAGGGAAACAAAAGATGTAACCACTGTTGTTGGTTTTAAAATTTAAGTGGATAAGGCTCTAGGATATAATAATTCGCATATCTTTAAGTATAAAAGTAATTGATAAAAATACAGAAACAAAGATTACCAATAAATTTTTATGAAAATATGCCTTAAGAAGATACAGTAAAACCAAATAATTATAATCTACAATATTTTTTAATAATAAAATGAAGTTATCTATTTCTGAATAGTAGTACAATGTACAATAAAAACTTGACTTTATCAAGGAGTAAAACAGGTCTCATCTACGATGAATGGTCTTCAAACTATTTTCTTTTCTTAGGTCCTTAGGACGTTAATTACTATCCAAATCAGCAAATCCTTGTAGCCTCCAAATAGTTCAGCCTTCTAGACGTCAATCATTTATTATACTTCTTAGGTCCTCAAGACGTTAATTACTATTCAAATTGACAAATCCTTGTCATATTACCAACTTTGTTAAGTGGGAAAAAGAAATGCTGCGATGTAAGAGATATTTTATATAACGGAATGTGGTTTGGTTTGGGGTCGTATTGGTGATCACGTGATGTTTATCAGGTTTTGAAGACAATGTATTTAGCTTTTACTATATCTGAGGCGCAATTAGATTATTACTATTTGTAGGATAGGTAATATGCATTTCTGGAATGCGTGGGTTTAACACAAATGGGTTGAACAGGGGCGATTTTCTAACTGTTATGTTTAAATTTAGAATTATGTTATGAAATTTAAACATTGTTAAATAAAATTTTCATTGTCATGTACAATTTAAAAATTTAGATATTTTGCGTTTACTTTGTACGTAAAAAGGTTTCTATTAATTACTCCTACATAACAATTTAGAAAAGAGTTCAAACAATTAAATTAATTCTCTTATCTGCAAGAGATCTTTGTAGCTAAAAATAATTAATAGACGTTTCTTTTAAAACTATTGTTATGCCATTGTAAAAGATATTATTCCCTTTGATAAGTTAAATTACAAAACGTAGGTATTTAAAGGGAACCTAATTTCTATTATCTACGTTTAAACAAAGGATTCCGACACCCACAAACCACAATTTGCTTTGTATCTTGCAGTGAGGAGTTATAAAGCAAAGAAATTGGAAAAAATTGTTTTTAATTTCTCATCGTGGTTGATTTTTTCAGGTAGCAGTACAACTGCTTTATGCTGACTCTATTATTAGTTTAAATGAAGTAAAATAAATTGCTTGAACACGTTGAACGTAAAAGGAATATAATTGATTTTCTCGTAATGTCATCCATACTTTTCTTTGACTTATCCTACAAGAACTACATCACCTTCTTATTTTTAAATTCACAATACTAAATAATTTAAATTTATTTGTTAAGATAAATAAACTACCAAAATCAGACGCAACTGAATTACAATAATTACAAAATGAATCGAAATTTATATAAGAAAAACCGAAAAAAGGGACCAAAACAAACAGTTTCATTAATTAGTCTAAATTTTTTATACACTAGTCCAGATGCGGATTTTGATTTTTGAAAAAAATTATTTAAAAAAAATATTTATTTTAACGACTTCTATACTATCCCTAAACGCTTCCTATCGACAGCTGGTTTTTGATGAGTTGATTGGCTGCAATACTTTGATGGGCTGAGAAGATGGTTGACTCTAGACACCTCTTGAGAGGCAGGTTCTATAAGCCCCTGGGATATATACAATGGGCATCGTGAGGTCTAAATCCTGTGGAACAACTCACCTTAACAGAGACAGAATAAAACTTAGAATTGAGTAGTGTGTTATTGTTACCTTGTTTGTGGCACTATGTATTCGTCCCCTTGTTTTTTATGAATTTATTTCTGAAATTCCGTCTGCATTTTAAAAAGTAAATATGGTTTTATCTAAATTGTCAACACCACTGGTGAATATTAATTTCTCTCTTTCTTATATAGTTCAATAATTACTCTCAGATATGGTCATGGGTAACCAATTATATGAAATAACTGTAATATGGCTAAAGCCATTTAATGGCTATGCATTATATTCTTGAAAGTTATTAATGATTTAGCCACGAAAATTACCTTAGACGTAATGCAGGAATAGAGCTTAAAGTAGCCCATACGGGGTTATTTGAAAGTTTTACTTAAAATTAAAATATTGTCAAATTATAGGTATACTAATATTCATCCCTTTTCTTCTTCATTGACTTTAAATATTATTGAGGACTCGTACCTATGGAGCCTTAGTATTGTATTCGTATAAACGAAACCCTTTCCTTGATCCCACTTTTTAATACTTTTCTCCATGTTTCCGACCACCCTCAATACGAAAACAAAAATCTTCGAATCATCTCTGCATTTGCACTTGATAATGTTTTTCAGCCGTAAACATTGGTGAAATTTGGGAATTGGCATAAGAAACAATACAGATTTAGTTTCTTGAAAGCAGTACTGGCTTGTAACCTAGTCTACGAGGGGGTTACGAAAGTTTATAATATACCTTTCTAAAACACTGACAGTTTTTTACCTACATCTGTACCGAGATCTATATTCTGCTACTGTGAACCCCCAAAATTTTGGTCACGAACCGCCCCTGTCCAAAGGTATTAAAACATTATTTTCGATGAGTAAAACACAATACTTTTTCTACGGCTCCGCCTATATCTTATAGTAAAGTAAAATAAAAATAATGCTCTCTATTTTATTCAATACTAAAATAATTACATATAAACTTAAAACTAGTATGCATCAACCAAACTTTGGAGTGCCAAAATATCCTTAATTATTTTGAAAGTGCTTCATGAGAGTATATACTGAAAATCCAGATTTAAAAGCCTAAAATCAAGAAACAATATTTAATATAGTCCGTAAAAGTAAATATTGTATTGACTTCTAGAAATGCTAAATTGATCAGTTTCTATAGTCAATGGTATAATTTGATAGTAGAGTATTTATTGTACCTGTACTAGTGCATTTAGATCCAGTTCAAACATTTCACCAGCTTTGACCTCAAAATACTTTTGGGATCTTTTTATAACGAAAATTATATTTTTTCGTATTGTCAACTCCGGATGAAGCACCAAATTCGAACTAGCCACTGCATAAGAAGAGTTTTCACTCTAGAAATAAAGACAACCATAACCAGGGATATATTTCGTATCTCTAAAACGTTTAAAATTATTTACTAAAATAAATAAAAAAAATCCATATTGCCATTATGGTTATGGCATTATGGACAAGAGTTCATCTATTTAAATGTTTTCTATTAATGATAATTTTTTTTTGGGTACGAGGGGTACTGCTAAAGTTCGCTAAATTGAGTACAGATGAATACAGTTGTTTTAATTGGTTTCATTAGATGCAAAAGTGTATAGAATTTATCAATAATATTGTTACGCAGCATCCTGCAGCGTGCTGTGGTCGTCATAAGTAAAGGTATGAGTAAAATATTCGAGAAATATCATTGCACGTCAAGAAAAATTTAGACATTTCGAGAAGGTAAATAAGCCGATGATCCTGACATCAGTTTTAAGTTTTATGATAGACGTTACACGTTAATGTTATCAGTTGTATAGCTGAGTTGAAATAAATTTAGATACCAAAAACCAGTGTAACATGTCGGTGATAGCGGTGGAATATATAAAATAAAAGTTACGCAAGCATTCTATTCATGGTAAATACTAGATCCACTGCGCATGAAATAGATATAAATACTTCAGGCCCACCATCATGATTTTTGAAGATGGAAGGGGAAAGAAAAAGGCGAAAAGAGGAAAAGGAAAGGCGTAGGAAGGAAGAAGAGGAGGAAAAATAAAGACGCAGAAAAGCAGAAGAAGAGGAAAAGAAAAGGCGAGAAAAGGAAAAGGCGTAGGAAAGCAGAAGAATAAGAAAAGGAAAGGTGAGACGAGGAGAAGGAGAGGCACAGGAAGAACGAAGAGAAAGAGAAGGAGGAGAGGCTCAGAAAAGAAGCGATTGAAATTATAAAGGTTTGCTACAAACCCAGGAAACTTTCAAGCAAGAGGTTGGTTAGCTTAACAATAAAGTAGATCCTTTGACACAACAACGAGAGGTTTTAAAAACTAACGTAGAACAACAGCAGGAGAAGTTAAAAACTAATTTGGAGCAACAACAAGAGCATCTGAACACTCCTTTAGAACAGCAGCAACAGAATTTAAAAAGCAATTTAGAACAACAATAAGAGAATTTAAAACAAACAAAATCTTTTGCTCAAGGGGTATATCGATAACCAAGAAGGCACCTTCGTTAATTATACTGGTGCAACCAAGTCTTTCATTCGAACAGGGATCCTGCATCGAAAACGACGACCAACTCGAAGAAACTTAGTTCTGGAAACAGCTAGAGGGCACACTAATCTGTTCTAGGCGAGATATCAGCAACCGTACAGATTGGTAATACCCTGATAGAACACATATTTCTGGTGGCCGACATTAAGGATCAGTGTGTATGGAAATTATGCAAAATAAGTTTATCATCGATCTTCAAAACAAGATCTTAGTAATTGGAAACGAGGAAATTGTCCTTAATTTTGAAGAAAAAACCGATAAAGGTCCTAGTGGAAGAAGACATAGAAGTACCCCAAAATTCTGAAGCTGTTGTCTCGGCGAGACTTAGCGAGAAATCAGACGGCATGCATGCGGGGATTGTGAAAAATGAATCTGTGAGTGACGAAATTCTGGTAGCCAGATGTCTCGTTAACGTTGATCAACTAATTCCAGTAAGGGTTGACTATTTATCGAAGACACCATTTAAACTGAAGAAAGGACAAGAAATAGGGCTCTGTACACCAGAGGAAAACATAATCAAGTGCGAAGACCGTTTCACTGGGAAAGCCACACCACAAGTAACACAGTTGATGCCAGCTTTGTGAAACAGCTAGTTAAAAATTATGACCAACTGACAGCTAAAGAACTTAGAAAAGTCAAAGAATTTATCAATACCAACTATGACATTTTCAAGACAGGAAAATCTACGGGGCGTACCAGTCTTGTTTAGCATAGAATTTATACAAACGATGCAAGGCCAACACGAAAAGCACCTAGAAGACTCCCATTTGCCAAACAGAAAGAAGCAGCAAATATGATGGATGCAAATATTATTGAAGAAGCTTCTGGTCCCTGGTACTCATCTGTGGTCCTAGTAACTAAGAAAGACAGAGCTACTCGTTTCTGTGAAGACTGTAGAAGATTAAATCAGATAACGCAAAAAGACGACACACTAAACACTCTATCAGGTGCAAAATGGTTTTCCACTTTGGACTTAAAGAGCGGATACTGGCAAGTAGAAGCACATCCTGACGGTCGAGAAAAAACTGCTTTTTCAACTGGCAGCGGATTATACAGATTCCAAGTTCTCCCGTTTGGTCTCTGTAATGCCCCAGCTACTTTTGAATGGAAATAGTTCTGAAAGGATTAACGTGGAAACCTTGATTACCTAGTCTAAGGTCTAGTATATAACGATCACATAATGATCATGTCAAAAACTTTTGATGAACTACATTTGAGTGAAGTGTTTGAAAGATTGAGAAATGCCAATCTAAGGCTAAATCACAATAAATGTTCACTGTTCGAGTCGGAAACCTATTATTTGGGACACATCGTTTCCGCAAAAAACGATTGATTACGGTACCCATCGTAGAGTACCCTCGGGAAAAAGGACAATTCATTTTAGACTGCGACGCATCCCAACACGGCGTGGGCACCATGCTATCCTAAGAACAGGAGAGGGAAGAGAAAGTAACTGCGTATTTTAGTAAGACCTTAGGAAAAGCTGAAAATAATTATTGCGTCACAAGAAAATAACTTTTAGCACTTGAACATTTCCATACTTACCTTTCTAACAGAAGTTTTATCATTATAAGTGACCGTAGCGCCTTACAGAGGCTGATACATTTTAAAAAACTTGAAGGACAAGTTGCTAGATGGATAGAAAGACTGCAACAATATAACTTCGAGATAGTGCATCAAAGGGGACGTCTCCATAGCAACGCAGACATTATCTCCAGGTAACCCTGTTTAGAACAAATACAGTAAAAGGCTCGAGTAACTGGTTGAAATAAATTTTCTACGAACTTTAATAGTACTCTTCGTATTTGAGTTGTTTGAAAAAGTTTAGTTGAATATTTCAGATAACATAACTATTAAAAATATCTTACTGAACTCTTTGCCCAACTGCTTGGTATACAGTAAAATGATAATTGAATAACAATTACTATTACAAACAGCATACTCTTTACTCTAAGTTCAAACATTTGTCTCCTAAAAAAATAAAAAATAAACTATTAAAACTTAATTTTCTAAGATCGTGCTTAAGTTAGAATAGTTACTTACTTATCTGCAAATATCAGTAGTTCCATGCACAGCAGAATTATACTTTTAATGTATTCTACGATATGTATAAATGAAAACGTATTCTTGACAAGCACGAAATATCTAAAATTAAAACTCTTTATCAATCCTAAGTTAATCGTAAAGACAGTTACTTACTTATACAAAAAGTTATGGTAGTTGACACATCGCTTCAAATCGTTTAAGTTCTCCATTGCAGAGAACGCCTTATTGAGCAACTCTAGCTGAAACGAAATCTCAATCATAGATACAGCATATATAGCAATTAGAAACGGTGCTGTAATAGCGATATAAAGAGTAGTATATATTTGCATTATAGAAATAATCATAAGCCAACTTTTTCCTTCGGGAATCCAACATTCGTACGGCAATACTCCATACATTAATGATTTTATGTTGACCATAACTGCGGTTATCCAAGTGAATGCAAGGAACATTTTAAGGATAACTCCGAAAATTTTATAAGTTTTACTACATGTTTTAGCAAACGGTTTCCCAAAGTCGGCGTGGTTCCAGAAGTACTTTTGCATTTCTATTATGGACATAAAGCCATCTTTGTTAAATAACATCATAGATAAATAGGCAGTCATCTAAAAAAAATATATAACAGAATTATGGAAGTTTCAATCAAAATAAAGTAACTTTCTTAATTTTGTAATTAAATTATTTAAATTTGTGGTAGAGATTCTTCAGTATCCCAATTAATATTAAGATGAATTAGTTCGGTAAAGCCGATTTGTCATATTCGATAGCTGAATACTTTAATTTATGTTGCTATTTACTCAAACATGTATCTGTGGCACACAATAAGTAAAGCTGGCCATGTTTACAAATGTCAACTAATGGTCTTGGCAGTTGTATCGTAGAAAGATGCGAAATGCGAAATACACGATAATCAGTGATGAATGCTTTACTCCTCAAGTAAAGGGCTAATAAATTTTAGTATTGAAACGGCAATTTTACCCAAAAAATAATCACACATTATTCATGAAACGCCTTTGGGCTCTTTTTTGTTTTTGAGAGACTTTTAACAGATTTTCAGACTATTACAAGCAATATTTGAATTTAAAAATTGTTTTACTTTGATGATGGGTATTTGTAAAATCCAGTGACTAATTTTATTTTTGAAGAGATTATAGGAATTTATTTTTTTAAATTCAGAAGGAATATCATTATATAATTTAGGCCCTAGGTAAGTGAAGCATTTTTGTCCTATTCTTTTCTCTGTGCGAGGCACAGCAACTGCATCAGTTTTGTGTCGCGTGCTATACGGGTGAATGATAGGTTTCTGTTTATTTTTATTTTTATATTCATATAATAATATGGTTTTGGCATATAGTTGATACATATTAAATATTTGGGTATCATGGTATAGTAATTCTGATGGGTAAGTACGAGGTTTTTTGTACATATATTTTAAAATAGATTTTTGAATTTTTTGGAGGTTTTCCAGGAGCGTTATTCCAGCGGAGCCCAATGCAATAAGTCCATAGTACAGATGAGATTCTGCAAGTAAATAGTACAGTATTTTAAGGTACTGAATGTTTAGAAAGTTTGACAAATTTTTAAATTTATATACCATAAGACGTAATTTTCTTATAACATAATTCACTTGGATGTCCTATTTTAAATGAGAGTCGATGTATATTCCCAAGTATTTAATATTTTTTACAGCTTGTATTTTTATTGATTGTTTACTATTAATAGAAATTTTAAGATTATTATATGCTGGCAAGTTGTTAGTATATAATGTGAAAGGTATGTAAAATGTTTTCTCGTAATTTATTGTAAGAGCTTTATAGTGAAAGAAGTTGACAATAGTTTTGAAGTCAGCTGCAACTGTACTTTTGAATGACTCCCAGTTTTGATTTTGGTAAAATGTCGTCTGCAAAACTGACAATTTCACCTTTTAGTTGTTGTTCGTATAAATCATTTATGTATATATTAAATAATAATGGGCCAAGTACTGTTCCCTGAGGAACGCCACATGTAATAACTTCAGAATCACTTAAGGTACCATTGATGCTGACAGATTGTTTTCTATTTTGAAGATAACTTTTAAACAATTTGTAGGCAATTCCTCTAAATCCAATATTTTCTAATGTTTCCAGTAGTTTGCTGTGGTCAACTGTATCAAATGCTTTTGCGAGATCTACAAAGATTCATAGTGAATGTTTTTTTGATCTACTGAGGTATTTATTAAACTTGTCAATCTCGCAATCGCATCTGACGTTGAGGTTTTTTCGCGATTCCGCATTTATCCAAAAATGATATCATTCTTTTTTTTAGTATTTTTTCAAAGATTTTCCCTACACTCGAAATTATGGAAATTGGTCGGTAATTAATAACATTTAACTTGTCCCCTTTCTTATAAATAGGCGTGATTACAGATTCTTTGAGAGCATCGGGAAATTTACCTTCACTAATAGTTTTATTAATAAGAAAGACTAGAATCGGAGATATTTCTTGACTTACTTCTTTAAGAATTTCAGAAGTTATTTCGTCTAAACCGGGTTTCTTATTGCTCGGAATATTTTACTGGTTTGGAAAGGGGGGAGAGATTAATAATAAGTATTACAACATTAACAAATGTATATTTACAGTAAGTACAACATTTGACTAATAGTCTTAAGAAGGAATGAATAAAATTACATTTAGGGAATAAAGCACTACTTGTTAATATATCCAAACTTTAAATAAAGACACTAGATAAACATTTCATTGAACTATACAGTTTGGACTTATTAACAATTATAAATAGCACTGCAAAACTTAACTACATAATAATATAAAAATATGTATAGGCTAAATATGATAATTCGGGACGAAAATGTAAAATTGGCATTTATGTGTAAATCAATTAATTACTATCAAACAACACTTTAAAAATAAGTTAAAGATATTTACCCATAATTCACAAATCGCTGCACAAAACTTTACTCTACACATTACTTTAGTCTGGGACTTAAAGAGTCCCAAAAAATGAGAACAGTCTATCTATACCGGTATGTGGCTTTCTAGAACATTCTAGATGATATTCGTTCAGCCGCCAGAATATACTTCACGGATACACCATTTTCTAGAATAGAGTAAACTAAGTGCCTTTGCCAAATTGTAATTTAGAGACAATTCGTTGTCATGTCTAGTGCATTCCAGAATGATAATTTATTTCGACTGTCGGGTTTTATATGCGTATTTGGGGGGGAGGGGTGAGGGGGAAATTTGGAGGTGACTGTTTTATTGAATATTCTTGGTAACAGGAAAAATAAAGGCCTTAACGGCCAAAATAAGGAATATAGCATGACTGGACTGGTCAATAATGGCTCGCATGACACTATTTTTGCCTTGATCATAAATAAAGTCTACTATCAACTAAACCCAAAAACTAATATAACTTTTTATCTCATAAAAGTCATAAAAGATTAAAAATCAGGTACTAAAATAGAAATATTTAAATTTGTGCCATAGGACATTTCATTATTCCTCTCACCGAGTTTCTCGGTTCTGTTAGATTGAGAACAGAGGCAAATTATCTTTCTATGTTACAATTACCATTTCTAATCTCTTTAGTAGATATCTAATAATACCTAAATTAATTAGTTTTTGGATAACATGATATTGTTATTAGGACTGATAATGTAACACGTACGTCGTGGAATTTAATTAGTCAACTATCTGGTAATCAAAATCTGTAGAGTAGAGAATCTGTAGAAAGTAGTTTTTTTTTCAATGGTCCCTTTAACCTATTTAATAACATTAATTCAACTGTTGAGTCAGTTGTTTATAACAATGTTAACACAAAATCGATGTATCTTTCCCAGTTTACTGAACCTGCATTATTGCTTGTACAAAATATAAAAAATAAAAGATCTACTAGGACCGACGGTGCTCCTTGTTTTCTCCTAAGATGTGTCCGTAAAATTATTATTCCTCTACTAAATTAATTATTAAATGAGCACTCTGGGCAGCTTTCCTCAAAATATTAAAAAAGAAAAAGTTATTCTCACTTGGAAAATAAAAATCATAAAGTTATTCTGTTACAGCATTTCAAAATATTTGAATGCGCTTTTTTACCTAAACTCATGAATTTCTTAGAAGAGTGTAATATTCTTATTAATAATCAATACGTTATATTACAAAAATCAACATCCACAGCAATATTTTTAATTTATAAAAAAATTATAGAATTTTTCGACAAGAGAAATATTCTCTTACTATATTTTGTGACCTCACTAAGGCGTGTCACTGCGTAGATCTTAATTTTCTCTCAAAGTTAGAGTATAGGTATGACACACGTCGATTAATACTATTTGTTGATAATTGTTTTAATTGCTATTTTCGATGGCAGGGATATGATATTACATGTTAATTGCGGTTCGCCTATTATTCTATTTTTCTCTAATCAATACTATAGTGTTTTTATACCGTTTTCTTGAGCCAGAAAAGCAAACTGAACATACCGTAGAGGACCTAGAGTTTTTAATAAATTGTTGGAGGACATCAAATCATTAATAGGAATTGTTTTTCTGTAAATTAATGACTTGGTTTTAGATTTAGTTTTAGGTATGTATAGACTATATTATTCAAATTTATTTTACACTGTCAAATAGAGTTATACATGAAACATTTGTTATTGAGAATGAATTTAAGTGCTTACTGGGACTTTACCTATTTGTTTAACAACTACAAATACTGTACCTACCTCTATGAAACACCATGCAGATTCACAATAAACCGTTATCTCCTCTATATTCACGTTAACGTTTTTTAAATTATACAAAATCAAAATGTCGATAACAAGAGTTGCGACGATCGTTAGGTATAATTGAAATTTATCGAAAACGGTTTGATCCTTGGAAAAACCATTTAGTTTCAAAACTTTTAGACCAAGATTGAATATATCTTTCATCGAAGCCATCGTTACGAAATGTTTATTTGCAAGCAGCTGAATTAAATTTATGCAGTTCATAACCTAATTTATGCAAAGTATGAGATATTTAGAAACCACTTAACAGAAATGGTAAAATGGTATAATTTATAAATTAAAGATTTATATAGGATTCAGTGACAGCAGTAGCGATTTGAAAGAAACAAAATTCATATTTGTATTATTTTTAAATTGTTTTAATGATCGCTAATATTTAATTTTCAGATTGGCAAAACATACAGATAGGGGACAAGCATTACTCACCCTGGACAAACCACGAATTTACTTAGGGATAGTACTAGAATGGCACGAAGCTTTAACGCAAGTATCCATCAAGAATGTGGTCACCTCGGGAAGGCAAACGGAAGTATTAGTCGAACAAAAACAAACAAAACAGATCAAAAGCAGTATAAATGACATAAGCGGCGAAGAGGAATTAAATAAATTCCTAAACTTGTCAGAAACGCGAAGCAAAAGAAATCTACCATATTGGTAAAATGAAGACATCGAAGCTGAGGTAGAAGAAATCGCAATGAGATATAAATCGAAGAAGTGGATGAAATCTTTAAAAAAAGAAATACAAGAGAAAAATAAATGAATTCAAAAAAGAACCTCTGCGACGAACTAAAAAACAATGTCTGAGGAAACAGATAAAAAATTTGTATAAAAAATTTATAAATGTTACATTACCATTCCAAATAAAAACAGCCAGCAGAGTTCAAATCACCAGGAAATTATTTAAAAACACAAGGAAGGTGCTCGGAAGAGGCTTCATCACAGACGAAGGTTCACAGATATCCATAGAGGAATTAGAGGAAGCAGCGGACAGGATAAAATAAAAAGCCCCGGAACAGACGGAGTACTTCCAAAGACTTTAAAAGTATTGGTTGAGCATAACCCTCAGAACATACATATCCATAGAGGAATTAGAGAAAGCAGCGGATAGGATAAAATAACAAAAAGCCCCGGAACAGACGGAGGACTTTCTAAGACTTTAAAAGTATTTGTTAAGCATAATCCTCAGAATATACTAAGAATCTTAAATGGATTTCTGAGGGAGAAGAAATTTAAAATAGACTTCCAAAAAGTTAAGGTGATCCTTATACCAAAAGGCCTAGCTGATACTGTAAAAGACCAGAAATTCAGACCAATCTATTTCATAAACGTAATAGGAAAGTTGTATGAGTGGGTTATTAAAATCAGACCAGAAAAGGAACTGCCCTTCAAAGACCGACGGTAGGAATTCAGGAAAGGCAGAATAATAGGAGAGATCATGAACAAGGTTAAAGAAAACAAAACCTGTAACCACTGTTATTAGTTTTACAATTTAAGTAAATAAAGCTTATTAATAAGGGTCGCTCGTGGATTATGCTCTAGGATATAATAATTCGCATATCTCTAAGTATTAAAGTAATTGATAAAAATACGGAAACAAAAATTACTATTAAATTTTAATGAAAATGAAGGATAGGCCTTCAGAAGATACGGTAACACCAACTTATAATCTACAATATTTTTTTAATAATAAAATTACTTTTAAAGTTATCCATTTCTGTGTAGTAGTACTATGTACAATGAAAAATTGACTTCATCAAGGGGTAAAACAGGTGTCATCTATGATGAAAGGTCTCCAAACAAAAGCCTATTTTTCCTTCTTAGGTCCTCAGGACGTTAATTACTATCCAAATCAGCAAATCCTTGTAGCCTCGAAATAGTTGTCTTCTAAACGTCAATCATTGGTTACGACCTGATTTTAATAGGACGAATCACAAACAAAACCTCATAGAAAATGACAACGATAATAAAATTGTGTAATTCTTAAAGTAAAAAATCGACACTGAAACAATTCACCTGTTGTAGGATTGATGGTAAAGTACATACGAGATGAGTGCTGAAACATCTTTACTGAAGTGACGATAAGTGAAGAACGAAACGATGTATGTTTTCTGTTCAAGGTTCGAAAACGGAGTGTAATTGTGTAGCGATAGGTGTTACTAACCCCGAAGCATCCTTATTATTAAACGTTTGAAACTGAGGAGAGATACGAAAGCGGCTATGTCCCTTGGCAAGCGATGGGCACTTGTTAGTTCTTGTGTGTTGAGGGCAAGTCCAACTGGCGGTCTTAAACCATCGAGAGTAAAATTTTGTTAAAATTATTTTAACTTTGTTAAGTGGGAAAGAGAAATGTTTATCAGGTTTTGAAGACAATATATTTAGCTTTTACTATATCCGAGGCAAAATAAGATTGTTATTATTTGTAGGATAGGTAATATGCATTTCTTGAATGCGTGGGTTTAACAAAAATGAGTTGAACAGGGGCGATTTTCTAATTGGTATGTTTAAATTTAAATTTAAGATTATGTCATGAAATTTAAACAATCCCAACACTGTTCAATTAAATTTTCATCACAATATATAATTTAAAAATTTAGACGTTTTGCGTTTACTTTGAATGTAAAATGATTTCTATTAATTACTCCTAAATAACAATTTAGAAAATAGTTCAAACAATTAAATTAATTCTCTTATCTGCAAGAGATCTTTGTAGCTAAAAATAATTAATAGAAACTATTGTTATGCCAATATAAAAGATATTATTCCCTTTGATAAGTTAAATTACAAACCGTAGGTATTTAAAGGAAACCTAATTTCTATTATCTTCGTTTAAATAAAGGCTTCCGATAACTAAAAACCACAATTTGCTTTGTATCTTGCAGTGAGGGGATATAAAGCAAAGAAATTGGAAAAAATTGTACTCCGAACAAATTGCTTCTTGTTTTTGTTCTACCCTAGCTTTATTGGGCTTGACATATACTGCCTTCGATCATGGTGGACTGTATTTGAAATAGATTACCTGGGGTGAAGGCCTTATGCTCCACCCTGTAGCCTCTGGAAGATATTCTTAAAGTTCTAGTTGAAGCACTGGGTGTTTAAAATAAAACCATCACCCTACATTTAATTTTGATTTATTCACTGCTTAATACTTTCACATTTAACACATTTACAAATGTGTTACATAAAATTATTGCAAACTGCCCCTGTCCGCATATGAGCCATTTATAGTGTACAAATTATGTTACTTTCACTGCAGGAGTAACTATTGATTCTGCTCGTGCAAAAGGGTACTTTACTTGTGAGCCTAATATGAGTTTAGCATAGTTTCTTTAGGAACGACAGGGGTACAAAATCTGAAAATGTATATTTAAGCGGTACAAATTATATTACTTTTATTGCAGGAGTAAATATTGATTCTGCTCCTGCAAAGGGGTACTTTACTCTTGAGCCTAATATGAGTTTAGGTTAGTTTCTATAGGAACGGCAGGGGTACAAAATCTGAAAATGTATATTTAAGTGGTACAAATTATGTTACTTTCATTGCAGGAGTAACTATTGATTCTGCTTGTGCAAAAGGGTACTTTACTCTTAAGCATAATATGAGTTTAGGTTAGTTTCCATATGAACGGCAGGGGTACAAAATCTGAAAATGTATATTTTAGCGGTACAAATTATGTTACTTTTATTGCAGGAGTAACTATTGATTCTGCTCGTGCAAAAGGGTACTTTACTCTTAAGCATAATTTGAGTTTAGGTTAGTTTCTATAGGAACGGCAGGGGTACAAAATCTGAAAATGTATATTTAAGCGGTACCAATTATGTTACTTTCATTGCAGGAGTAACTATTGATTCTGCTCGTGCAAAAGGGTACTTTACTCTTGAGCCTAATATAAGTTTGGCATAGTTTCTGTAGGAACGGCAGGGGTACAAAATCTGAAAATTTATATTTTAACGGTACAAATTATGTTACTTTTATTGCAGAAATAACGATTGATTTTGCTCATTTAAAAGAAATATGAATTTGGGATAGTTTCTATAGGGTGCATATTCTGAAAATTTGTATTTTAACGGTACAAATTATGTCATATTTTACGAAAAAATATCAATAGATTCTTTTTCTGCAAAAAGTCACTTTTTTTTAATTATAACAGATTTGGATTAATTTGAAAGTTGTTTCAGGCAGTTTAATTAAATAAATTAGGTTTTTTTAATGGTACAAATCAGTCCTTTTTAAATCTACCTTTGTATTTTTCAATGTGATCCTGCTAGCCTAATATTAAACTAGAAGCACCATGTGTTTTTTTGTAAACGGTACATAGTACGAAAAATTTATTGATGGTACAAATTGGTACAAATTTAGTTATTTTTAATTCTACTTTTGTTTTTTTTTTTTTTATTTTTTTAATGTGGTCCTGCTAGCTTAATATTAAACTAGAAGCACCATGTGTTTTTTTATAAACGGTACATATTACAAAAAATTGATTGGTGGTACAAATTGGTACAAATTCAGGTCTTTTTAATTCGACCTTTGTTTTACTTTTTTATGTGTCCTGCTAGCTTAATATTAACCTAGCAGCGCCACATTTTTTTTGAAAACGACACATGGTACAAATTTTTTATTGGTGGTACAAAATAGGTACTAAATAATGTAATAGATTTTAATCGATTCTGCCCAGTTCGTCCTGCTAGCTTAAGAGAGGTAAAACTTAATACCATTTGAAAGTCCTCCTGATGTACTAAACCCAGCCCCTTAAATTTTCTTTATATTTTTTTGAAGGGTCAACTTCCAAGATATCTTTTAATAAGCTTAACGGTCCCCGACAACATATTTCCATAAATTATCTCCAGTTTACGTAACATTAATATTTCATAACTTCGTGTTTCAGATAAAGTTATTCCATTTTCTCCAACTTTTTCATTAGAAAGAGTCACAAACGCACGTTTAAACATAGATCCTTACAGTATTTAATTAAAAATTATCGTCTCTAGAAGGACGAACTGAGGGGGAGATATAGATCTACTATTTTGCAATTTGAAGAACCCTAGATATTTAATCTTTCTTATTAAGCATTGTTAATACCGTACAGTAAATTAACATTCAAAAAACTTTAAGACATTTTTAGAATTAAGGCTTTAAATTATTAAATTGCTTAATG